ATGTTAGATAATATCGTTTCTAAAATGTAATTTGGAGGTAGAGGCGGGAACACGAGAAAATTGAGTTATTTTTTAAAGAATACGCATTTCTACACCTAAAAACATTCATTGCACAACTGCATTGCTCAATAAATGCACCACCTACGTTCATGGTACATAACATAACATAACATAACATAGTGATGGCGGCGCTGAAGAGTAGGCCTGATGTGGCCTGTCGCCGATTCTTGTACTTTTCGTGCCTTGCTCACAGAAGATCTAAAATCGTGTCATTTGACCGGAACATTTCACAACTGATGACAGTTTGAAATAGCTACTAGACTTCCACCGGGTTCGATATGGTGCTAGGTATTTCAAGTCAGATCATATATTTTTCCATCGCTTTATCTAGTCTGTTCTTGAACGCGTTCATACTTGGAGCGCCAACGATGTAATTGGGGAGGCTGTTCCACATGTCGGTGATTCGAAGCGAGAAGAAATGTTGTCGCGTGGATGAGTTGCAGCGCAGTTTTTTTAGTACATACATGTGAGACTCCAGCCCTAAGAAACGCGTGCAAGAAAAGGTAAGGACAACAGGTGTAATATGAGGGAGAAATATGAGGGAGAAATATGAGGGAGAAACATGCGAGAAAAATATGAGGGAGGAATATGAGGGAGAAATATGAGGAAGAAATATGAGGAAGAAATATGAGGAAAAAATATGAGGGAGAAATATGAGGGAGAAATATGAGGGAGAAATATGAGGGAGAAACATGAGGGAGAAACATGAGGGAGAAATATTAGGGAGAAATATGAAGGAGAAACATGAGGGAGAAATATGAGGGAGAAATATGAAGGAGAAACATGCGAGAAAAATATGAGGGAGAAATATGAGGGGAAAACATGAGGGAGAAACATGAGTGAGAAATATGAGGAAGAAACGAGGGAGAAATATGAGGGAGAAATATTAGGGAGAAAGATGGGGAGAAATATGAGGGAGAAATGTGAGGGAGAAATGTGAGGGATAAATATGAAAATATGAGGGAGAAATATGAGGGTCGTCATGACGCAGGTAAGGGTCATCCCTCATGTCCGGCCCTCGCATGTCCGTCAGTGTCAGGACTTAAGCACTGCAGTGAAGGTTTTCGCCCTTTTTCTCCATCTAAGGATTGCTACAGCGCCTGCAGCTGCATTTCCATGAATTTAAATGGTCGTAGTTTCCATTAATTGTTATCACATGTTACGTTAAGGATGCTGGATTAGTTTGATCTTCTGCTTTCCTAGCTAATGGCCTTGTTAAAGCGTACTTTTTTCTATCTAATTTTTTATTTTTGGAAAATTTTAGTCAGATTTTATGAAAATATTCAGATGAAATTTTGAATGGAATGATATACGAATAATTATGAGGAGAAACGACATGAAAATAACAGTCTGAGAAACATTCTGCGCATCAATCGAAATTCACTTACAAAAAAAATAATATTGGCATTCTTCAATGAACGAGAAGCAGCAGACTTTCTGAAGTTTGAAAGTTCACTACTTTAAATTGTATGTAAATAATTTAACAAGAATATTTTTTGTTTGAAGTTTCAAATTGACAAGTTCGAGGGAACGACTCGTGACAGAGGCAAAGGCCAAAACTTTTAGGGGTTCTTTGCACAACTTGCCTTGGACCTCGTGACCTTCCTGACCTTCAAGTTCATATGCACAGCATTAGGTTTTATTTTTTCAGTTCGAGCAGCTCGCTTCTGTTAAAGAATCGACTGTTAAAAAGATACATTTCTTGCTGATTTCAGTTAATTCGAAGTTTTTTTCAGCGGACTGAATTTAATCGAATCAAATTCCTGAATAAATTCAACACTTTGTTAGGCAGCCAATACTGATCGCATAATCCCACTCACAATCAGCCTGATGAGACAGCACCGACATTATAAAAATCAATATCATTATTAATAGCGCGTTCCCGTCACTCTCTCCCCTTGAACTCGTGCAAATGATTCACGTGAAGCCATGAATATGATGGCGCAGGTAAATGTCGCTAATCCACAGCCATCGTCGATCCAACTGTCAAGACAACCGAGTTGGCAAAAATGAGAATTGAGCTAACAGAAGATTGTTATATAAACATGTATATGACCACTGCAAGAAATGAGGAAAATCTATTTTAAAACTAACGATACTCCTTAGGCTCGCATCACAGGAAAAAACTCGTTTAGATCCAATTCTCTGCTGTTTTTGTGAAAAAAATACACCTTATTTCGGCAAGTATTGCTCAAGTCAGCTAGAAAAACAGGTGCCGATATTTATTCAAGTGCTAAAGTAACAAGATATCAAACATGATCTCACTGCATAAGAAAAACAGTTGTGGCAGTTACTTTAGTGCTGGGGGACCACGCTTGTGACACGACTCAAGCACTGTCATGCAGGTTCAGTTCTTTTAGACGCAGAGCAATCACAAGCATTTTTGGGTGAACAGGTACTGTAATTTTGCGTTGTCTTGCAATAGTTCTTAATTACCAGTCCATAACTAAAACATGAATGAATTGAATTCCTGAAACAATGAAAAACGAAAGTGCGGAACTGGAAACTCTAAACGTAAAATGGAATTATTGTTGCCAACAAATGTGAATATCACTTTCCTATAAATTGATAATATTCCTTAAAACTACAGCTTCTGACTTGTGCGATGAAAATTACTTAACAAAAATGATTATTTGCTTAAATTAAACGGGCATAATGTTCTTAAATGGGCATATATATATATACATATACTAATTCAGCCTTTTTGAAGAAACATTATTTCGATAATCGTTTTACACAAAATTTTACTACTTAAACTGTTTACAGAACATGTCAACAACGTTCAATTTGCACATTATAACTACTCAAGTTTTATGCAGCGAGATATTGAAACCGGAAATTATGAATACTTGAATAATTTAAACGGGGATATTGAGAATGTTTATGTGAACCGCCGCTGCAGATGAAAGGCTTTAAGAGGATCGTACCGAACGTAAACACGCTGATCAATGGCCGTATTTTACATTAGTGGTTTCGTTCGTATCGTCAGCTCGGCTCCCATAAACACTCAGCAGTTCCACCAACAAATATCGATACTTGCGAACGCGATTTGTTAAAACAACGATTCTGGCAAGAACTAGAGTGTGGTAAACGTTGCAGTGAAATCTATGGCAGCAATGCAGTCAATGCAGTGCTAGTGCACTTAAGTTTATAACATTGCAATAGTGTTTATTATTTTCTAAGTATTTTTGGTGTAGTGTTTTGAGTCACCTCTGACGTGACCTCGTGCAGGCATGTCATGTACTCATTCATTGTTTTTTTTATACATCACGGAATTACGTGTTAGTATTTGCTCCGTATATTTGATGTTAATCTTCATTGTCGATTCGGCGACGGTTTGCATTGAGTCATGTATATTATTATTAATATTGGTCAATTACTTTTTTGTTTGGTTTTTCAGCGTATCTTGTTTTGTTAGGGTTTGGTTAATACAAGTTCCTTATTTGTTAGCATTTATGTATATCAGAAGCTATCCAAACCTGAGACTTAATCACGTTTTAATCAATAGAAGGGTTTTGGCTAGGAATACACACCGTTTGTATTTTCGTATTTTTCCATATGTAGTTAGCATATTGGTATAGTTTACATTTAATGTTTTATTTAACCATCATTAACGACTTAGTTAAATTTCTGAAGTGACTAAAAGTTTGTTTTCTTATCGATTTAATAGCCCTCAGCATCATCCATCGTATTCTGTCATCTAAAAGGTTTCATTCTCTATGTTATCCTCTTATATTTGCTCATTACATGAGATTTTTAATTTCCCAAGCAGACATTTTTCTTCAGTACAAGTCAAGTAATGCGTTTAATTTCAAAGCAGACGTTGCTTATCTTGAAACAAAGAGAAAGAATGAACATTATTTCAAGGAAAAAAATGGAGAAATCCTCCTAATGGAATCAGCCCAAAAACTCTGCGGTTATTTAGCCCAGTATTTAAATTACTGCTAATGTTAAATGCAGTGTAATAGAAATGCTGATTTTATTAGTACTTGTTATTAATTGTTGAATAAAAGGCATGCAAAATTGAATTTGTGATGTGAGCCTTTCCTTTGTTGTTAAAAATCCTATTTAGCAAACCAGCAAATATCAACTAATTAATTAGTTAATACCTTGAACACTCAACAATAAATGAAATTTCGAGCTCATTAACAAAATTGTTTGGTTGAAAACTTTGCAACGCTTGAAAGAACACATTTTTGCTCTCTATATATCAGCTTTACAACAATGATAGAAATGTAACTCTTATTAATCTATTATAGGCGCCCGAATGATTTCAATAAACAATCGTCAACAACATAGCGTGTGCCCACGTTCGCAGCATCCATTAGTTCGGTACACTCACGAGTGTTAAGTAAGCAAGGTCATCACGAGTGGCCATCAGTTTTATTATTCATTATTAATGGCGAGTAAACATTGGCTGAGGCAAGATTCCGATCGTGTCAAGGTAATTTTGATATTCATGGGTTGTTAAGCGGAAATTTCCAGCGAGCGTTTATTTTTTGGAATAAGTTTTTTGCCCGTCATTTGACATGCTCATACGTAAAAAATATAACTCAGTACTCACTGCAGTGAGTGACAGAGAGCACATTTTCTCGTGTACGAAAAAGTGAAGTCCCGGGCAGACGGACGGACAGACAGACAGACGAACGGACGGACGGACATGACGAGCATAATAGGGCATTTTTCCATTAATGAGAAAATTCGTTAAAATGCCAGTTTTCATTCAGTCACGTTGGATTCAGAATAAGGGTTAGAGACGCGAAGAGATATGCACGTCACAATCAGAAGTTGACTATCAATCTAACAACCAAGCGTTTAAAAAATCGTAATGCAACGTGGCAATGCCATTGAAAAGGGCAGTAGCTGTTTGCATGGTGTTTCCTTTACAAAAAAAGATAGATGGATTAGTCTTGAATTAAAACCTGCTTCTGTTGGTACAGGAGGCGTGACTGGAGTGGAAGGGACCCGGCAATCAACACTGGACGGCCGAGTTACTGAAGTGCATTCGAATCCCTCGGGTGCGGCACTTGGCCACACTCGCGAGATCGCAGGGCTTGCGGATACCAAATTCCAGCACCGATATTTCCTCCTAAACAATCAGTCAATAAAGAGTACTCAGCTCACGATTGCTGACGACAGTTTCCTATGCAAGGTTCGTAGAATGAAAGTCAACCCTTTGCTTCGAAGAGAAGAAGAAAGAAGCCTGGGAACTCGAAATGTGACGACTGGGAATGGATCGCGAGCATTGATCCGGCAAAGTCGGATTAGGAGAGACGTGAAAGGGCTAATGGAGTTCACCATCTTCAAAGAAAAGGGCTCGGTCGCTCTTTCCGTCGACAGACAACATGAACAAGACCGCTTTAGGAAATTAAATTCCTCAGTTCTTCAGCCGAGCAACCAAACAAAATATCATGAGCACAGGCTGAAAAAATCGCGCCATAAAAGGAAACGCAGTCGCAATCTGGGCCTTCATACCCTTTTTGATCACGTATTCATCGAAAAAAACGCAGAAAGCCTGATAAAGGCCATAAGCTCTCGGGAAAATGAAGTCCAAGAAGATAAAATGATAGATATTCCAGATTTTGATTGCGAGACAAAACTTTGCCAGCATCCTGACAATTCGTTGACAGGAAACTCTTTCAAGTCGAAGGAAAAAATTCGATTGCCTTCAGGAATAGAGGATGAGATCCATTATCCGGTGCACTTTTCGAGCAAGACCCACAAGCATCGAAAAGTTTATCGAAACTTTACAAAATCCTCAGCCCCTGAAACCGAAATTCCGTACTACCACTACGGTGACTCTACGATGATCAAAAACAACTTTTTCCCTCACCCACAAGCATCTTCAGACGTCAGCGGCGACTACAAAGACGTCACACACTACGAGCAGCAGTATGACCGTCACAAACACCAGTCAGGAGTACGTGTCTTGGCAGTGGACGTTCCGCCGTACGTGAATCGCGGTGACGACGCGGAGCTAGAGTGTCATTACGACTTGGCGCACCTGCAGCTATACTCCCTCAAGTGGTACCGAGACGACGACGAGTTCTTCAGGTTCATGCCATCCGAGGACCCCGCTCAGGTGGTGCTGCCAGTGCCGGGGGTGCAGGTCGAGGTGAGTTTCAGAGGGAATTATATCACCTTACAGAGGATATTATATCATGTTTTTTATGCCGTTAAAGTTTTTCTTCAATGAATCAATCTTATTAACGCATATTTTTATTTAACGTGGCAAATTTGACGACTAAATTTTATCTGAATGCAGTTGGTACGGCATCAAGAAAGTACAAGTTTTTAAGATAAATCGAGAGTCTTATCCTATCTTTTGGTTTGTACATGAAAACTTGAAGAACGTGGTGCTGAAAATACCGGATACTTTAAAAAATGTCGCACTAAGGAATATTTTTCTAACATTTTTTAACCCGATGTGAAATTAAAATATTAGAGCAGTCATGATCCCGACTATAATATGTTTGAATAAAACTCTTTTCAAACTCTTAAAACTCCCGTTTTTGAGTGACAGAGAGCAATGCAGTCACCAACGTAACCAAGCAGAATTAAAATATGGACCTTTAAATTTCGGAGTTCAGATCTGCGCGTCAAATAAGCGCTATACATACAGACTAAAAACGTTGCCTTTTAGTGTTTTAGGAGAATTGTCTGTACAATCCTTCGCGCATTGCTCGCCAAGGTGGAATATAACTTTTAATGTAAACCTCATTCGTCATTTGAGCTACAAATTTTCTCTTTACCTGAAAAGTTACCGGCAGTTATTGGCTTCAAAATCAGCCAAAAACTTTCTGGACAAACAGCAGATGCCTCGAGGATGAGAAAGTTCCGCATATTTTCGCGTATGTAAAATGGTGCTCTTTGTTTTCCGTGCGCTCTGTGGAATATGTTCCCTTTATTTTGTATTTTTTTTTGTATATATTTGTACCTATAACAAATATGTTCCTAGATTTGTATTGTATATAACATTAATTTTTAGATTTAGAATTTTTACAAGAAAATATAAGCACGTAATTCAGACTAAATGCAAATAATTCTAAATGCAACTAAATCTAGGAAACAGAATTTCATGCGATATACGTTAGGCAAAGATAATTACTGAAATTTAAATGCTGTCATTTACTTTTATAGTAAAGAACAGCCTACGTCCATTTGTCCACCTCAAATCCTCAACATAGTATAGTAGAATACCCAATCGCATTTTTAATCATAGAAACACTATCACTAAGTGGCGTCACGCATATAGTAAAGAACAGCATTTTACACTACAGCGTCACATATAGTGGAGATAAACACAAAACATTCGAGCCACATTCCAATTCTTTAGTGGTTTGACTCTAACTTTAGTGGAAAATTCACGAAAGACCAAAAGCCGGAGCTAGACTCGTTGTAAAGCTGGAGTGAAGGTTGGAATTCGGCGCTCTCTATCGGATGGGAGGGACAGCGCTGCATTTACATGTCAGGCTCCCAAACTTTTTCTTGATTTCTTTACAAACTTTTTTCATGGCATTTTGGAAATTTTCGCAGGTTTCCAATGTTGTAGAAAATCTCATTGCATTGCTGAAACTATTTCAAAATCAATCGATTGTTACTTATGATTAAATGGCTTCGAGCGGAAAGCAAATAAAAATTCATACAACATTACTATAAAAAATGTTTGAATGAAAAATAATCATCATATTCATTTCCCAACACAAAGAGATTTATTGAACATATTAGAAAATATTTCATACTCGAACGCTTTCTTTTACGCTCCTTGATTAAAGATTTTTCTTATAACATTTTTTCTCGCATTAGCATGTGAAAGAGTAACAAGGTATCAAAGTATTGAAACAGCTTGCCATTGGGAGAAGGTGCTTTTTATTTCTTATATATCTAACGAAATATAAATTCTTACGGATACTCTGTTCCAAACAGGGCTTGCGATTTTTAACTTCAAAATCATGACATTGAACGAACGAAATAATTTGCATTGGCTTAAAATTTAGGCTCAGAAAAATGCGAACTTCTTCCTCCGATTTTTGAAACAATCAGCAAATTTCATTAAAGCATTTCTCAATAGAAAGACATACCATCGATTTAATTCCATAGCTGACAAACCCTGAAAATCGCCAAAATAATATAAAGCTATCTCTCTTTTTATTCTACTTAGCTATTGATATGTACACAAAGTCTATAAATTCAGAACCTAATGCTGCTTTGTTCGCCTGCATACTATTTTATACGATGGCTGTATCACGGCACCAGAGCGCCGTGTTGCGCTCGCTCCCCTTGACGGTAGTCGCATTAATATTCCAGATGGCGAACAGCACAGGCGCCACTCTGCTGCTGAAGGCAGTAACGCGACAGACTGAAGGCCACTACAAGTGCGAGGTGCTGTCAGATGCACCAGAGTACTACACTGCAGACCGTAGTGCACCTCTGCTGGTCGTAGGTGAGTGGAACCAAGGGACACGAGCTACCGTGGTGCTCCTCTGCTGGTGGTAGGTGAGAAGTGAGGGACACGAGCTACCGTATTTCATCTCATTTAGTGAAGCAGGTGGCAATGTTCTTCGAAGTACTCAATCCAAGTTCATTGCACGTGATTAGGAATTATTTTTACCAAGACTAGCATGCAATTACCTGCCATGTTCAGTAAAAACAAAAACAACATAGCGTTGATAAAAATCCCATTTAAACAGAGGGATATCACCAGAAAGCTGATGTCCCTCATATCTGCAGCCCTCGAGAGATCTACAGCCGTCGTGGTATAGGATGTAGAGTCAGGCATTGTTTTCTAAATCTGCCGCGTCGCGTTCAACGGTGACAGTTCCGCTCTCAGAGGAAATCTTCTTCTTTTCAAAGACTGTTTGCTCACTGAGAGCCTCTCAAATAACTAAGACTTGGAAGAAGCTGCAAAATTACGATTGCAGCGGACAGTTGAAGCGTAACATGCGTGAGATGCATTATATGTTGAAATCAGAAAAGGCCGTTAGGAAGGTGTAATACTTGGACTTATTTCAATTAAGTCGAATGTCATCAAAAGATTTTGGGGACATTTACCTTGGTTGCAGGACGGATGGTGATAACATAGCAAAAAATGACATTGTTTGGTCCCCCAACTGCACTGACGAGAATTCTTTTAACCGATTTTTTCGATTTTTTTTTTAGATTGAGTTGATACTGTAGCACAATATTGATATTTAATAATATATATTGAATAAACTGTTTTCATAAATCTACTTGACATCTTTTAAATTGAACAAATTCAGATGCTTAGCGAACTTGCAATTAACTCAACGCAACGAACAACATGAGCAAATTTTCTTTAAGTGATTGGTAGGTGTAGGTTAGGTACTCGATAAGGGAATGAACAAAAGGCTTACAAAAATTTTATACAATCCATTTTCACATTCGACGTCTACACTAAAAAAATAAGAACTGGTTCCCAAATCGAAATAAAAGGAAAGTATATAGCGACCTTTGTTATAAAAGAGTTATGAATTTCACTACTGCTCTGCCAGGCGTATGATAAATTGGATCCAAAAATTTCCTTTCGCGATTTAGCTCCACTACTTTAAGAAAATTGGATGTATTTTGAAATCGATGCAGAAAATAATAAACATCAGATTTATTTATGTAATTAAATAAACATACTAATCATAATGAAGCCTTTATTGTGACAAAAGCTGATTTCCTAAAAGGGATCTTGTTGTTTGGGAGGCGGTTCCTTAGTGACCTTAATTACCTTCGATGTAAGTGTTTGTTTCAAGTTCGAGAAACCTCGAACTTGGGCTAACTTTACCCATGTTTTTTCGACTTGAACTCGTGAGGGAGACGACTTTCTTTAAACTACATTGACCATATGTACTGCGGTACGACCAAAAACAAAACACACAGAGAGTTTATGGGTGAAAAAAATTCCATTAGAGCTTTCTTTATACAACTGAAATAAAATGGCAGTAAAATCAAAACTAAACAGAATTAATGTAAATCAGAAATTTCCATGAAACCTGCCCTAAATTCGTTGCACCTGGAGCTACATTAATACCTAAAACACAACATAGTTTATGTGCACAAAAGAATTCGTTAAACATTCCTTAAATTTCATGAATTTGAAATTGCAGTAAGACCTAAAACTCAATGAAGTTAGTTCCAAGAAAAAAATAATTCCATGCCAAGGCAGGAAGTCATTGGATGATACATTCGAAGTAAATTTATGATGGAGATTCAGAACGAGGCTCGTTATATTTTAAGGAATTTTCCTCGTCACGTTTGAGAGTTTGAATGTTACTTTACGCTGGAAATGTTGATAGAATAATATAATGTAATAATAATAAAAGTCATAAAAATGACTTATTCAAATGCAACGAATCTTTTTCACAGTAGTTGAAAAATGTGCAGGTATTGATTATGATTAAATTAAACCCAATTCCTGTTCAAGCAAACATCATTAACTATAGTTCACCACTTATGATGAAGTCGAGGGCCCTCAAATAGCAAAGTCCTCTTCATTTCCGGCCAAGAGGCAGCAAGCTGAGGATAAACTTGGAGTGCATTCCTTGCCCGGAATGTGTTGAGTTGCCGGCGGTCCGCTGGGGCGGAACACAAGCACTCGTTTTAATTAGGAACTCCGACGACGAGTCGAAGGCCGTTCGCGTGAAGTGCCCTATACGAGCGAGCGCTTCAAATTTCACCGACAAATGCAAAAGCACGAAGCAATTTGGAGCCTGGATTGCCCCAGGCTCCCTCGGACTGCTCACTTTCTCGCAGTCCATTATTTTCCGGTAGGTACTCCACACTTCAGGGAATTGCGCAGGATAATTGAGGTTGCCGGTCATGAATGGCATCACTTAATCTGGCTTTTTTCCTTAAACGAAAGCGGCCTCTTACAACTTCCATTCATGGTAAATGTTACGTGAGGTTACATAGCACAGGAAACATTTTCAGCGGTAGAAGGACACTTTTAGTTTCTTACTTGATTCAAGCGAGTTTGAATTTCGTAAATTGACGATGTATTATTTTTTTGCGCATTACACAGATCATACGCTCAGGTTACGCAATTTGGGAAAAATTTATTTACTGTACATTTAGTGAAAAATTAAAAAAAACTCTAGGTAAAATTTCAGGAACGGTTTACGTGACAATAATATTTCTATAATAAATGTATTTCAGTCTCCGAGGCATACTCGTAATTTCCAGGCTGAATGCAAGTCTGTTTCGTTTCTTATTGAACAATCAAGTCAATTGAGTATTGAACGTATCTAATTGAGATTCATGTATCTTAAAATGTTTTTAAAAATTTAATTCAATTCAATACAACGCTTCAGATGTCCCCGATGATGAGCCGGAGATACTGGGCGCCCAGACGCGGTACCGCCTGGGCGACGTCGCGCGCCTCTTGTGCCGCTCGGCGAAAAGCAGACCAGCTTCAAGAATATCCTGGTACATCAACGACTGGAAGGTGGGTCAATTGGTGCATCAACGACTGGAAGGTGGGTCAATTGGTACATCAACGACTGGAAGGTGGGTCAGTTGGTACATCAACGACTAGAAGGTGGGTCAATTGGTACATCAACGACTGGTAGGTGGGTCAATTGGTACATCAACGACTGAAAGGTAGGTCAAATGGTACATTAAAGACTGAATGGTGGGTCAGTTGGTACCAATGAGGGTGTTTCTTATACTGATATTGATGTCATAAATTTCTAGCAAAGAGAAACCAGTTAAAACGTTATCTTTCCAATTGTAGGATTTTGAGATACGAAAGAAATTACCAAAAATTATGAAATCCTCTGGGCGGCTAATATATAATATACTAAAAATGTTAAGGTTACATCATTGACGACAAGAAAGTTGCAAAAATAGTTATTGACGCACAGACGGCTAGCGCTGTTTATGAAAGTTGGTAAAATAAAGACATTTTTACGTCGTAATCAGGTTGAATTAATTTGGAAAAACATTATTCAATCATATCATTGAATGTGAGATAATAACACAAACCTAAATAAGTAAAGTAAGAGATAATTAGTGATATGCCACGAAATTACCTTTGTTGAGGCTTTTCGTGCGCAACTGATTCCGTCCCTTAACGCTGTAATAGGAGGTGTCGTCAGGAGCCATTGTCATTCAGTAGACAGAACGTTTATAGACCTACGACACTACGCAACCTTTGAATTCGCTTTCGTTTCGTTAAGTATTTACTCGTACCTATTCGAAATTTACCCCAGTTCCTCCGATGATTCGGTGAGCTACTTTAGTCTAATGTATTTATTTTGTATCATTGTATGTAATATTCTTGAACCATATTGTTGAATACCACGTTAACCTGTTTATCTCGTATTACAAATGGTTGTGTCTTTATGTGCAGAAACTCACCATCAATAAACCTGATAAAAGTGTCGAATCATCTTGTTACTTTCACGAAACTTTGAGGAAACCTTTATAACCCTTTTTCTCAAGCAAAGAGAAATAACTGCATGGACAATTTTAACAACCCATTATAGTAACAACCCATTATAGAAGTAAACAGACTCCCAATATTCTAGACCTGGTGTTTACCAGTGATGAATCACTGTTGGATGAGCTTCGTCACGAGGCTCCTTTGGGCAAAAGCCATCACCAATCATTGTTTTTCAGACTTAAGTGCTGTACAGAAAAGACGCCTCGGAAGCGTGAGCGTTTGAATTTTGCGAAAGG